CGCATGTGCAGAAAAAGCCACTCAACCTATAGCTTTAATTGATTGCTTATTCTGCAGAAATGAAGAGGATATGCTCGTTTCATCCAAAAAGCACACAAACCTGTGCTTTATTTTTTCAGGAGCCTGTAAATCAGTGGTTGTCATTTTTTTTTCGTTTATTGTTTGATACATAAATTAAGTCATTAATAATTTCGTTTAAACGGCTTACATTTGTAATTTTGGGGCCTTTTGTAGCTTACTATGCCCTATAGGTTTTTCTCATTGTTGAACTGCTATGTCATTTTATCTCTGGTAGCCCCTACAGAAAAAAAAGGTTGAGGGCCAGTTGAGAGCCATGTGGCGGACAGTTGAGGGCTAGCTGTTTTAAGCAAAATAGTTGAGAACTAGGTTTTGTGCTATTTAGCTCAACTCATACTGGGCCAAGCACTGTATGTTGGATAGATGTCGCTCAACTGGCCCTCAACTGAAGCTGGCCATTAAGTTGAGGAAATGTTGAGCAATTGATCTTTGGCTTTCATATAGTTGAGGAAAAGTTGAGCATTCAGACTTTGATTTTTTTGTAGTTGAGGAAAAGTTGAGCAATTGGTCTTTGGTTTTCATGTAGTTGAGCAAAAATTGAGCATTCAGACTTTGAATTTTTTGTAGTTGAGGAAAAGTTGAGCAATTGATCTTTGATTTTTTTGTAGTTGAGGAAAAGTTGAGCAAAGGATCCTTGATTTTTATGGAGTTGAAGTATAGTTGAGCAAAAGATCTTTTTTTTTTTTGTAGTTGAGAGAGAACCCTTACAGAATGAAAAGTTTGCTGCAATATTGTAACATTATTTCGGCAATATTGCAGCAAACAAATTTGTTTGCAAGAAAGTTGCAGGATGTTGCAGCTACCTGCAACATTCTCGCAATGTTACTGCAACATTATTTGTTTGCGAGAAAATTTGCTGCAATGGCAATGTTGCAAGAAAGTGTTTGTTTTCTTGAAAGTTGCAGGAACCTTTTCTTATATTGTCTAAGGAATAACTGTTTGCAACAACTTTGCAAGAAACTTTGGTTATATCTTATAGTTAAATTCATGTTACTCAGAACTATTTGGATACTTGGATTATTTAAAAAAAAGATCTTCAAATAACAATTAATGGTTATAAACAATTTCCTAAACTGTACTACAAAACATTTATGATATCTTGTAAGAAAGAATTTTTTTTTCAAGAATGCTTAAGGTTTTCATTTCAACAAGTTCAAACTAAATAATTGTGACATTTTAATTTTTCCCTATGATTTTTTATCCCTTTTTATGACCTTTTTCTGTGAACAATATTTTTATTTTTTCCATCTAATGAATTTAGCCTATGTTGCAGGTTGCCTTTTGTTTAATTTCTAGTACCAGTATTTAATTATACAGTAAAACCTGTATAAACCGGCCGGCTACGGGACTATGAAAAAGGGCCGGTTTGGACAGTGGGCCGGTTTATTCAGGTTTCTGTTTTGACCGGAAGTTAATGACTTGTGACGTCTGATATATTACATGTAAAAGTTCTGTCTGATTGTAAGCTATAAACTCATTAATACAAAACGCAATAACGTAATAACTTCGCATGATCGTTGTTTTGAATCTTCTTATTCATTGTCTATATAAATTTAAGAAACTGGTTGTTCCTCGAATTAAAAAAAATAATATTTTAACCATTTTTTACATATCCTAGTATGTCAAATAGACCTCGGTAGCATCAATATTCGACATGTCTATTTCACTTTCGCTTTGTCTTCATTGTTTTCATTTGCATCATAATCCTCGCGTTGTTTGAATTGTGACACGAGAGTTTCGTTTTACTTCCATCGTTCATTTCCGACGTTGGTATAGCCGATTATTACATTTATAGCATTGAATTACATTGATTTCCCAGTCAAACAAAAACCAATAATTTCACATGTGAAATAAATGTGGTTATTTCACTCTCTGACGTCATACAACAATAGGCGTTGTCAAGACGTTGATAACGTCGGATCAAAACAAATTGTGAATGCGTAGAAAAAAGATATAGTTCCTTACATTTTCTACATTAATTTCATTAAAAAAAGCCATTTGTCAATGTAATAAAAAGAATAACTAATCAAAGAATTCAAATATCGCAAAAATATTCAACTCGTGACCTTTCGCGCATTCGTGAATTAATGTGTTGTTCGGTCACTCGTTGAATATTTTTCTCTATTTGAATTCTTCGATTAGTTATTCTATAATTAAAAAGCCAGAATTTTATAAAAAGAAATTTCGTCACAATCAAAACATTGTTGTACAGTGTACAATACTGATTGATTGTTGTCATCCGGGTGTTCTTCATTATCAGGGTCATTGGTTTAGGGGTTCACAACAGGTTACCTAGGATGTAATTTTCTAACTCCGCGATTTGAAAAAAAAAAGATCTACGTTACAACGTAAGTTCTATCCTAGATATATTCGGCGTGTCTTTTAGTTTAATTTACACTTTTATAGTGTTTTATTAATACAGCTCACTACTGTACCATTGCAAGTTCACGGTTTAACACCTGGCTAATTGATTATCCTGAAAAGCCATCTTGTATAAACAAATATGTTTTGATTGCATATCGATCAATACTGTTATCATTTAAAATTAATTAGACAAACCGGTTTTGACAGGTAATAATTGATGTAAGTAAGAGTATTGGGACTGCATCATTAGACCGGAATTCGGAATACACAGGGTCCGGTTTCCAAAGGGTATTTTAACAAAGACTTTGAAGGGGAAAAAATGGGACTTTAATTTTCGGCCGGAATGGACAGGAAACCGGTTTATTCAGGGTTTCCGGTTTACTCAGGTTTGACTGTATGTATACACAAACAATTTGCATGCCCTCTTTCTCATCTCAGTTAGAAATATGAGCTGGTGATATAAATGTTATGTGCCATCTGTTGTCCATTCATATCGGTAGTGCAAGTAGACAGGAAGTATTTTTATGTGTTATAAATTTTGAGGCCAAATTAAGGGAAGCACATGTTTTTATACATTTTTCTGTAATTACTATTATAACTCATAACATAAAGATAAAAACAAACAATATTTTTTTATTATAATATATATCAAATATTCAAGATTTAGGTAATTAACAGTTATTAGTAGGGGCACATTTCAAAGGGATCACACTGTCACAATACTCTAAACAACCTCAAACAAATTTAAAATTTGAACTAGGCATCAGCATGCACATGGCAAGCAAAGATGTCTTCTAGCTATCATGAACAAAATATGAATTTTACAATGGATGTAGATCAAAAAGTTACAAATAACTGTATTGACATTGAATAGTGCAGATGTATTCTTCTGATGACATGACTCTTGGATTTATGAAGGTTTATGTTTACACATATTTTGGATAATATCTTTTGGTAAGTACATTGGATTAGAATTTCCACCATTTTGAATAAGTGCATATGCTCTTTTAGTTTAAAATATTGATATTTAAAGTGTCTCCTTAACTTTTTAGAGTGAAGAAAAAATTTAGACAATTATATTTATGCATTAATTTATATATTATCAAAATATGTAAGACAGGAGACATATTTTTTTTATTATTAAGACAATTTGTTTTTAGAAAGTATTACTTATGAAATAAGAATCTTCTAATATAATGAATTTGGTATAAAACTAGAGATCTGGGGTATGACTGCCAATAAGACATCTATCTACAAATGACAGATAAATATGTATATCTTCTTTATGGTTGAACAACACTTTCTGTTTTGAGTATTTTTGCAATGTGCACTTTGAATACCCCCCTTTGTACTGACTTTAGCCATTTTGGTTTATCAAGGGGGGTGTGGGTAGAAATTTTTAAGGAAAGGAAATTTTTTTAGGGTACACTTAATACAGTTAATAGGGTAATAGAAATTTTATGAAGGTTTTTAACTATAATATAAAACAATTTTGCTTAGACATAGCTAGAGCAATTTTACTAGCCTCTGGTTTAAACTATAGAGTGATCAATCATGAAGACAGCTTTTAGAAAATTTGTTTACAATACCTTGCTTTATCGAGGCACTCTGACAGTCAACAGATTAAAATAGTGGGGAAGAACAATTTCATAACTTTTTTTTCTCAAATAGTGAAGCAAAGTATCAGACACATTCTTATCTTGTATTTATCCACATTTGTTTAGTTTAATTGATTTGTATAATTGGTTGAAGTAGGCAATACAGAACAGATAGGTTTAATTTCTTTTTACTTTCAGACTTTGGTCTTATCCATTTCAAGATGTTGTCCACATACAGACGTCACACATGCAATTAATGAAAAAATGTACAGCGGAAGGAAGATATTACAAAAGAAAGAAAAGGATTTTTCAACATTAAACATTGTTTCAATATATATCTTACTTCTTCTTGCATAAAAAGTAATATGGCTGCAGGATTAACTAGATTTTATTTACTAGATAACTTTTAAAAAGCAAGGATAAAGCTGTCATGTAGTCTGTTGTGAGTTTAGATCTTTCAGCAGTATTTTGGCTTTATAAAATACACAATTTAAATGACCTGATCCTCAACTGTTGGCCAGGTAGCCCTCAACTCTAATTGCTCAACTGTTGAACACCTAGCTCTCAACTATGATATTTTTTTAAACCTTGCTCAACTAATTTGCATAAAGTTGAGCAATTGATATTTGAGGGCTACCTAATTTGCATGGCAAAAATCCAGGTAGCCCTCAACTGGCCCTCATCTATTTGCTCAACTGACGGCCAGCTAGCCCTCAACTGGCCCTCAACTGTTTGCTCAACTGGCGGCCAGTTGAGCAATGAAGTTGGCCATCCTATCAGTTGTTCTGTATGGGAGATAGTTGTCTCATTGGTAATCACACCACATATCTTAATTTTTTTATTCAGAATTCTCTCTAAAATGATATTTTTATTCTAAATAATGAAATAGTTGTGTTGTTCATAACGAAATAGGAAACAAAAATACATATCAGCTTAAATCATTGTAAATGTAACACTTACCTGCTAAACTAGGGTCAATCTGCTTTTGTTTCTGTAGAATAAAAGAAGGATAAATTCTAGAGTTTTAGACAAGAGTGCACATGCTATAATGTCTTGCCTGCTTTACAGACTATTAATTTTATATTGATAGTTCTAAATATAACGTTTTACTACAAGTAGCACATTAACTTTACATGATCAAAGAAAATAAGGTCAAAGTCAGGTAAACTAAGACGGAATTACATTTACACCTTAAAATCCTTCCATGCACCAGATATAGTTGACATATTGCTTATAGCATACAAGAAACAGACCAAACCATGAAAACTTTATATTGAACAATGAACCATGAAAATGAGGTCAAGGTCAGATGAACCCTGTCAGACAGATATGTACACCTAATATAGTTGACATATTGCTTATAGTATACAAGAAACAGACCAAACCATGAAAACTTTATATTGAACAACGGACCATGAAAATGAGGTCAAGGTCAGATGAACCCTGTTAGACAGATATGCACACCTAAAAATCATTCCATACACCAAATACAGTTGACATATTGCTTATAGTATCTAATAAACAAGCTTAACCATGAAAACTTTGGATTGACCAATGAACATGATGAACCATGAAAATGCAGTCAAGGTCATATGATACCTGCCAGACAGACATATACACATTACAATCATTCCATACACCAGATATAGTTGACCTATTGTTTGTAATGTAAGAAAAACAGACCAAAACACAAAAACTCAACATTGATCAATGAACTTTAATCAAAGTGCTGTATAGCACCTGTGGAAATTTTGCAACGGTAGATGTGTATTATTTCAAATTATTAATAGGTTAATTGTAGACGTGTATTATTTCAAATAGGTTGTAGATGTGTATTACTTCAAATAGGTTGTAGATGTGTATTATTTCAAATAGGTTGTAGATGTGTATTATTTTAAATATGTATTTAATCACAGCTTTGGTGTTTTTCCCTAAACCATTGTCTCATCAGCAATTATCAAAAATCACTTTTTTCATATGTTTGTTTTGTAAAATTTTGATAATTTCTATTACAACCTTAAACTGTAGATTTAAAATAATCAAATATACAGAAAGCTCTGTTAATTTCTTTCTGTGCCCATTCAATGTAAAGGGCCTGTATTTTTTATTGATTAAGGTCCTTCATATTTGTTTGTAGTAAATTGTATTATTACTAATTAAGCAGTTAGTTTTCTTGTTTGAATTGTTAAATATTGAACAAATTCGAACTACGACTAGTAGATTGTGTGGTTAAAGTTTGTTTTTTTACATAATACAACAAATAATTAGGTCTTTCCACTTTTCGGTGGAAAGACCTATTGTATTTGTTCTGATTATTAGGTCTTTCCACTTTTCTGTGGAAAGACCTATTGTTTTTTTTCTGATTATTATTATTATTTTCTTCCGCCAAATTTTATTCTCGCGTAACATTTTTGTTTTGCAATATGTCGCTAAGATATTTCTTATATAGTATCATACAGTTTATGCGCTTTTTATTTTCACCCATTCTAAGCCGAACAAATTTCTTTGTAAGAGTTATCTCCCTAAACACTGTTTTCCTTGTGACTACATCTACTCCGTAACGGCAAAAGAAAGCGACAAATTTATTTTATAAAATTGCTCGTTATATCCTTCGCATGATTTGTCCTATTTTGACCGAAGCGATATGAACACTCCATATGACAGTTATTTCCCCTTATGCATGTGATATAAGTAATATGCATTTCTAACTGGTAAACCATAATGGAAAGAGACCTAGGTGCTTTTGATTTGAGGTCCTTGGTCCAAAAAAATGAAAATTAGGTCAAGGTCAGAGGTCAAGGTCATATTTTAAATTTTGATTTTGGCTTATTTTCAATTCTTTTCAAAAACCGTATAAGATATCGACAACATATTTTTTACTAAATTGTAAGTTGCGACATGTCGTAACACATAAATTTTGGTTGAAAGTGTACACTAACATTAAATTGGAGTTTTCTCCCCTCTTATATTAAAAATTAGGCATATAGTGATATAACTCATTAAACATATATAATTAAGACCTATAGTCTTTGATTTGAAGCCCTTGGTTTATGACCTTGAAATTGAGCTGAAGGTCATAGGTAAATTTGACGTTCTAGATATTGACCTTTGCTTTTACCTCATATGTATACATGATAAAGCCATGGGACTTTTTGCATTACGTTGCAAGCCACTTGACCATGGAACAGCCAACCGGAAGTGACCATGTGTAAACCGGAAAAAGCTATTTTTTTGTACTTATTTAATGTGATAGTATATTAAACGATATATTTTTGAAATCAGGATCAAGTAAACTATAAAAAAAAACCCGGAAATGACATTTTTCAAACCGGAAGTAACAATTTATCTCCCTTATTTAGAATTTTTTTTTATAGAAACCATATATTTTTGGAATCAGTGTACAATAAGCTATCATTTGACGCTGGATATGATATTTTAAACAGAATTTTGATAGTTCTATATCAAAAAAGACTTTATGGGTGGAAAGACCTTCAATTGTTCTCTGAATATTTTTTATTAATTTTTTTTTTTTTTTTTCTTCTTCCGCCACTTTTATTTCTTGCGTATAAATTTTGTTTCGCAAGATGTCGCTTAGATGTTTGGTATATGATATCGAACAGTTTATGCGCCTTTGAAATTCACCCTGGGTAACCGAATACTTTTCTTTGTAGGAGTTATCTCCCCCAACACTGTTTTCTTTGTGACTGCATCTCCTCCGTAACCGTATAAGAAAGCGACAAATTTATTTTATAAAATTGCTCGCTATATCCTCCGTATGATTTGTCCAATTTTGACCGAAGCCATACGAACACTCCATATGAGAGTTATTTCCCCTTATGCATTTGATATAAGTGATATGCATTTCTATCTTGTAAACCATAAGTGATAGAGACCTAGGATCTTTTGATTTGAGGTCCTTGGTCAAAAAAAAAGAAAATAAGGTCAAGGTCAGAGGTCAAGGTCATATTTTAAATTTTGATTTTGGCTTATTTTCAATTCTTTTCAAAAACCTTATAAGATATCGACAACATATTTTTACTAAATTGTAAGTTGCGACATGTCGTAACACATGAATTTTGGTTGAAAGGGTACACTAACATTAAATTGGAGTTTTCTCCCCTCTTATATTAAGAATTAGTCATATAGTGATATAACTCATTAACCATATATAATTAAGACCTATGGTCTTTTAATTTGAAGCCCTTGGTTTATGACCTTGAAATTGAGCTCAAGGTCATAGGTAAATTTGACGTTCTAGTTATTGACCTTTGCTTTTACCTCATATGTATACATGATAAAGCCATGGGACTTTTTGCATTACGTTGCAAGCCACTTGACCATGGAAAAGCCAACCGGAAGTGACCATGTGTAAACCGGAAGTAGCTATTTTTTTGTACTTATTTAATGTAAAGTATATTAAACCATATATTTTTGGAATCAGTATCAAGTAAACTATAAAAAAAACCTGGAAGTGACATTTTTCAAACCGGAAGTAACAATTTATCTCCCTTATTTAGAAAAAAAATGTATAGAAACCATATATTTTTGGAATCAGTGTACAATAAGCTATCATTTGACGCTGGATATGATATTTTAAACCGAATTTTAATAGTTCTTTATCAAAATAGATCTTTATGGGTGGAAAGACCTTCAATTGTTCTCTGAACAATTGGTTTTTAATTATTATTTTTTTTCTTCTTCTTCTGCCACTTTTATTTCTTGCTTATAAATTTTGTTTCGCAAGATGTCGCTTAGATGTTTGGTATATGATATCAAACAGTTTATGCGCCTTTGAAATTCATCCTGCATAACCTAATACTTTTCTTTGTAGGAGTTATCTTCCTGAACACTGTTTTCCTTGTGACTGCATCTCCTCCGTAACCGTATAAGAAAGCGACAAATTTATTTTATAAAATTGCTCGTTATACCCTTTGCATGATTTGTCCAATTTTGACCGAAGCCATACGAACACTCCATATGAGAGTTATTTCCCCTTATGCATTTGATATAAGTGATATGCATTTCTATCTTGTAAACCATAAGTGATAGAGACCTAGGATCTTTTGATTTGAGGTCCTTGATAAAAAAAAAGAAAATAAGGTCAAGGTCAGAGGTCAAGGTCATATTTTAAATTTTGATTTTGGCTTATTTTCAATTCTTTTCAAAAAATGTATAAGATATCGACAACATATTTTTACTAAATTGTAAGTTGCGACATGTCGTAACACAAAAAATTTTGGTTGAAAGGGTACACTAACATTAAATTGGAGTTTTCTCCCCTCTTATATTAAAGATTAGGCTTATAGTGATATAACTCATTAACCATATATAATTAAGACCCATGGTCTTTTGATTTGAAGCCCTTGGTTTATGACCTTGAAAATGAGCTCAAGGTCATAGGTAAATTTGACGTTCTAGATATTGACCTTTGCTTTTACCTCATATGTATACATATTAAAGCCATGGGATTTTTTGCATTACCTTGCAAGCCACTTGACCATGGAAAAGCCAACCGGAAGTGACCATGTGTAAACCGGAAGTAGTTTTTTTTTTGTACTTATTTAATGTAAAAGTATATTAAACCATATATTATTGGAATCAGTTTCAAGTAAACTATAAAAAAAACCCGGAAGTGACATTTTTCAAACCGGAAGTAACAATTTATCTCCCTTATTTAGAAAAAAAATGTATAGAAACCATATATTTTTGGAATCAGTTTACAATAAGCTATCATTTGACGCTGGATATGATATTTAAAACCGAATTTTAATAGTTCTATATCAAAATAGATCTTTATGGGTGGAAAGACCTTCAACTGTTCTCTGAACAATTTGTTTTTAATTGTAACATGATACTGTTACGAAGTCTCCCATAATTAGTCATTCCATGGTCGCCTGACATTGGGCAAAGTCCAACTGGTACAAATTGGTTTGGTCTAGTAAAGTGATATGCATAAGTGATGCATAGGGATTAACCCTGTATGTCATTCAA